GCAGGTTGCCCTCGGCGTCCTCGATGTTCACGTCGGCTTTGAACTCCAGCAGAGTCTGCAAAGTGTCCAGGAAACCCGCTCGGGCTACGTCGTGTATCACGGCGAAGCCGGTACTGTCTTTCAGGTTAGGGTTTGCGCCTCTGCTTAGCAACCTCCGGGCAATTTCAGGATTCCCCAGTTTCATGACCTGTGAAAGAAAAACGAGAGTTGAATACCCCGGGTGACGGGAGGACTCTTTGCTTTAGATCCTTATTTTTATCTCTGAGTATTGTCCCGGCTCTGTCATCATTTAAAATAGACAGAGGAGCCCTATTATAAAACTAATGATGCATTAGAACATCTATTTTAATATATTTTTTGCTAACCTCAGTAGAATTGGGGAAGCTGTTATCATTTCAGTGGTAATAGCTTTCTGTCTCGGAGAGATTAATGTTTAAAACATGCAGTGTAGCACGTTGCTATAATAACTTCTTTAACTTAGGTTATCTCAGCCTCTAAGCTTACGAAAATTAAATACGGTTCGGTTTTATTTGTGTAAGTATTGAGACTCCTTTGCATTACTATTTCATCTTGTTAAACATCAAATATGGGTCCCTCTGAGGAACAGACATTTTACCTCAGTAACAGAAAATGTAGAATGTATTTTTATAAACTTTCAGGTGTTTACATTGTCTGTGGATTATCAAAAAACAAATATTTACACTGCACTATAGTTCTGTCTGCTAAAAGAAATAAATCCTGGAAGAAAATTTTCTCCCTAATATATAGGTTTCATTATGTTACCCAAAAAGGAGAAGTTAAAAGGAATGTTTCAGAGTTCCATAAACTTTCTTCTAAAATCAGTATATTATTTCATAGTTTCATAATTTCACTATAAGCGAATTGTGGATATATTCTGTTGTTAAAAATATCTCTAATTAAAAAGCACTAATTGGATTTTCTGACTGTTCCTCTCAGGGAAAAAAAAATACTTCTTTAAATATTCCTAATTGCGTCATAAAAATATTATAATTAAGAAGCAGTTATCTCTTATTTGAGGCTTAACAGTTTATACCAATTTCCCCCAGATTTGCCAGTTTTTGTTTTCTCACAGCATTAAAAAAAATGAGCATGGCAATGAATAATCTCCGACGTATACAGTAAACGAAGAGTTTACTGTTCTTGTAATTAGTTTTATTGTTAAGTGTCAAAGTGGGGGGAGAAAATCTTTATTTCCTTAGAAACGTCCGTACTGATTTAAAATTTTGCAAAGAATCTTTTATCAGCACAAAGAGCATTACAGTGCATTATATTTAACATGTGTAATTTGCACAAGGCATTTGCTGAAATACTGTTCTCAATGAAAAATATGTATTAGGCTTTGTAATAAAGACACACCTATAGTAAATATAATTACTGTAGCATTTAGAATGTAAAGTAGCCCATTATATTGCATCTACAGACAGGAATAAAACTACAGATAAGACAGGATGGGATTCAGGGAAAGACATTTATCTGGGGCACAATATTTCGTGCATGTTTATGTGCCATTTTTTCAATTCTGAAAAGAGGTGTAAGCGATGTAAAGGAAAATAAAAGCATTGTGCTCTCTCTTTCTTTGATAAATCTAGACATTTTTGTCTCTTTTTGAGGGCCCAGGCTGTATTATTTGTGTATTCAAAACATGTATTTGGTTCAAGTGGCAACTGCCACTTATGTGTTCAAGGAAGGCAGGTTTGGGGACTGAAGGCTTAATTTAAAGATGCGGGGGGGGGGGAGAAAACCTTATAAAAGGTGATGCTATTTGGACGTGGGATACAACTATACCGCAAATGCCCTTTATTTTGAAAAGTTTCACTTGGCTGGGGGAGGCAAAGAAGGAGAAAGTATTTATTGAATAAGTCTGATGAAGAGCGTAAGGGCAGGACTTGCATTTGAGGCCTGCATAGGTACACTTCATCAGAAAAAAAAAAGTACAGAGGAAGACAAGCACTTGTCCAATTAAACATAAATCCAGAAGAAAATTAGATATTAATTTGAATTAACAAATAAGCATTCTCTCTGTTGTGAGTGAGAGAGAGATTATTGAGAGATTATCTCGATTTTGGAGGTTGTATTGACAGAGAACCCTTTCGAGCGTGGTCACCCACCCACAACACATTTCAGGATGATACATAGTGAAAATAAGTAGACAGATTCTTCTGTTTTGATTTTTGTTTGCGGTTCCTTAACTCAGTTATGATTAGGCTGCAATAAAAAGTATTGTTAGTACACAGATGCGTGTTTAATATAGCTGAATGCTCTGTCCTTGTGTAAAATATTCCTTAATTTAGGGCACGGACGTTTAGTTTCTTTTAGCAAAATACATTACTGTAGTACCATTCGGTTTTCAGCCCCCGTCTGGAGGATAAAGCATCTAGCTAAATGTTTCCTGCTTTTTAAAAAAAGTTAGTTTGTACAAGTTTCTAATTTAAATCCTTCCCTGCTCCTAAAAGTTGCTGCGAGTGTCTGCACTGTCATACGATGTCCTATTTAGGTGATAACAGTGCAAAGATAATCTTACAGCTCTCGAGTTTAGGTGAAATTGTCAAACAAGGGTCAGTACTGCTTTACAACAAGAGGTGCTTATTTTCGAGGTCTAACATTTTGATGGTAAGCCAAAAACCTGTAAATATCTCGAGCGCATTCGCAAGCTACATGCTTTTTGAAAACAAAATTTCAGAAATGAATATCGTGGTTTCGGGGGAGGGGGAGAGAGGAGTTAATAGAAACGATTTTTCTAATGTGTGAAATTAAAAAGTCCCACAGCTCTACTTCCACATTTCTTTACATTCCCTTAAGTATATAAATAACCACACATTTCCTCCTGATTTATAAATCACTTATTTCACTATTTTGTATGCATTCTACCATTTTCGCCATCATTATCTGATATTATGAAAAGAGAAATCTTTCATCAGCTCCAATAGTTAGCAGCTGGATGAGTTCCAAATCCTGTCTGCACAGCTACCCACTTAAAAATTAGGACAGAGGACCCTATACGATCAGAAATGAAATAGCTGGAAGCAATGCCTTGCCATCCGATCTAAAAATTCAAATATTTAAGCCTTAATTATGAATGAAAAGGCAAGTGATTCAGACTGAGCTGTAACTCATTCGGCTAGCTATGAATGTACATCTAAGGTACTCGATTCTGTGTAGCAGCTTCGAAATGAGAAAGGTCATTCGTCACAAACAGCGTATAAAGGAAAAGTACCATCTACCGCAGAACTAATAATCGAGAAAAGCAATGTTTTAACAGCATACTATAGGGGGAACAAAAAATAACTCTAAGCTTCAAATAGTAACACAGATGTGTTTACAGACCTGCTCTGAAATCCTGCTCACCTAAGATGATTTCTTTTCATCTCCTCTCTTCCATTCTTTGCCTCCTCCCCACTAAGTTACAAAATATTATTAAACTTGTAGCCCGTTTGACATTGAGGGTGATCCCCGACTGAAATAATGGTTTTGACCAGTTTTATTTCAAGTACGTCATTTTAGGGAGTTGGAGCCACTAAAGTTATAAAATATGGCATCCAACTACTTTAAAAAACACTCGAATTTCGTCCACCAGCCTGTTTAAAACGTTGTCTTTTTGGAAACCCGGGTCACGTAGGTAGCAGTGATGAAATATTTTCTCCCTCTCTGGATACCAACCTGCAGCGCAGTCCTCCCAAATCCATTTTGTGCATTGACGTTTACATTCTTTTGCAACAAATTAGTAAGTTGCACTAGGTCCCCCTTGGCAGCCGCGGACGCCAGCTCGTTCCCAGAAGGCTCGGCCATTCTTTAGGGTGACTGACGATCGGAAAAAGATGAGATTTTTTTTTAACCAGGCATGGCATCGGAGACTGACAGAAGGATTGGGATGGTTAATCTTCTGGAGTAGACCTTGTAGTAAATACTCGTAAAAAAACTCCTTGCCAAGAGCCCGCCCCTAACTCACACGTGATTATTCAGCAAAACTGCAGCTCCACTTGAAAGAAGATTTCTTCGCTTCCACATATAGAGTAACTCCTATTAAAGACTTTGGCCAGTTTAAAGGGAAATATATTAAAAGCTATGAAATATATGATATATGTTATATGTAACATATATACACGTACCCTGGAGCCTGAGTCAGCCCTGAAATCTTTGAAGAAGAAAACAACCCACCCTGTTCACAGTCGGGATGCGAGACTTAGCAGCAACAGCTCCGAAGAAAAGTCTTCTCTAG